AAATCTGATTCAATTAAGATTAAAGACTAGTAGTGGGCTAGTATACATCTGAACATCAGTAGTATAATAGTACCGTGTCTCGGCTGCCCAACTTCGGCAACGCAAGCGCCTTTTGTCGCGAACCCAAAAAAAAAACTAACAAATATTCATGCCAATTTTAACCGCACAGTTTCAGACAAAAATAAACACGGACAGACGAAGCGAGATATATATAAAACGCAATCCTGAGCTTTCAGGCAGATCTATATCAAAAGCTCAAAGAAAGTACTTTTTTTTAGAACTTTTTGTTTTATTCCGTCTTCCCTTAGACCGTGAATGCAACAAGAAAATGTATTCGTTCACATAGCATAGATTTAAACGGCATGCTTTTAGTGTATTTCCCGATCGCCTGTCTTTAAGTGGTCACCGAACTCATAAGCTCTTATGACATTAATGCTATTGAAGTCGTCGTGGTCTCAAGGATAAGACGTCCGGTGCATTCGTGTTGAGCGATGCACCGATGTTCGAATCCCTGGCGGGTACCAATTTTTCTAATAAAATACTTAGTCCACAAATGTTCACGATTGACTTCTACGGTGAGGGAATAACATCGTGTAATAAAAATCAAACCTGCATAATTATAATTTACGTAATCACTGGTGGTAGGACCTCTTGTGAGTCCGCGCGGGTAAGTACCACCACCCTGCCTATTTCTGCCGTGAAGCAGTAATGCGTTTCGGTTTGAAGGGTGGAGCAGCCGCTGTAACTATACTGAGATCTAAGAACTTATATCTCAAGGTGGGTGGCGGCATTTACGTTGTAGATGTCTATTGGCTTCAGTAACCACTTAACACCAGGTGGGCTGTGAGCTCGACCACCTATCTAAGCAATAAAAAATCAAAATTATATGCTTCAAATGCTTTACAGTTTTCGTGGTCACGGTCGTCCGTGATGTGATGTTTACTGTAATGAAAAGATTTAAGACTCAATTCGGTTTCAACCATCTAATTTAAAAGAAAAAAAACCGCGAAAAATCAACAACGAGAAACCAAAACGAACAATTAAACAAGCTCTCTATTTCGTATTCATTAACCGCTAACGAACCGAATCTGACCGCAGCGTCAAACGGAAAACACAAAATAAATTACCTCACGGGTTCCCGAACGTCTATACGCATCGATTTATTAATCATTTCACTTTTCAAATGTTAACACGTTTAAATAAACAACGGTATGCCATTAATCAATCGAGATTATTTCCGTTAACGTTCCGAAAAACAAACTGAGTTGGTACGCGGTGGAGAGATGGGCAGGACTCAGGGGGTCTCAATGGGGGGTCTGTTACGTGAAAACAATCTTTATATTAATACGTGAAGCAAAAACTTTGTATACCTTTTTACGAAAATTGCGCGGACTGAGGAATATGAAATTTTCCACACCTATAGAGAAAATAGAAAAGAAGTGCACAATGCTAATACTTTTTTAAAATAATGCATAAAATATACATTAAATCAATACGAAAACGATACACACACTATATACCATGTATTTGACGCACACACGCATGCATACTATTTATTGTCAAACTTTTGTTCTTGACGTCTGTTCTCAAATTGAGAATAGAATATGGTTTGTCTTTGTTAATATTTTTTATAGTGTAGTCTTGGCGAAATTTGTGATTATAGAAGTATAAAATACAATAATAATAGTGTACAAACTTACAATTCTAATTAATTATAGTCGAATTTCGACTACTGCGGGACCACTAGTTCAAGGAAATTCACCAATAATGTCAGCGATTGTAATGCTTTCAAAGGTAAATGCTGAGTAACATAATCTAGTGCTATTTTTAAAGAGCATTGTATTGTAGTGCTATGTAGCTAAAATTTTAAACCTAAAAAGACTCTTATTCACCTAGCCTTTCAGACTCACATTATAAATGATCTTTTTTTTTTTTTTTTCCTACCTAATCTGATAGCCTTGAGAGGCTATGTCAGCGTAACCCTAACTTTAGTAGGTGAGCTCACGGGGCTCAAACCTAACGATGTTGCTAACACGAACCCTAGCAAGAGCAGTGCTTCGCAGAATCTACCACCGGATCGGAAACGCGACCCACTAAGAAGATCCGACGAATACCTGCGTGATTTCAAGACTGGCACCTTCCGATCCACTAACGGTGCTTTTAGGTACCTCAAGCAAGGGTCACCGTTCTCATCGAACCCGTCGCTTGCGACAAAGGGCTCGACAAGTAAATTAACCCTCAGACATAGCCCACTGAATTTCTCACCGGATCTTCTCAGTGGGTCGCGTTTCCGATCCGGTAGTAGATTCTGCGAATCACGGCTCTTGCTAGGGTTCGTGTTAGCAACATCGTCAGATTTGAGCCCCATGAGCTCACCTACTAGTTAAGGTTCCGCTGAAATAGCTTCTCAAGGCTATCAGCTTAGGTAGGAAAAAAAAAACTGGCATCGCTTCATACTATAACAGCATGCGTTTTATTCTATAGACTATAACTACGATAATCCTTTCCGTTTTAACAACGTCGGGAGGCAATATTCTATTCCCTGCGTCCGTCCCAGTCTTTTTAAATATATTTAGCGCTGAATCTCAGTGGTTTTATTTTGAAACCAAGACACGTTAGGTATTTAGGCTGAATTGAACTTGTTTGTTTTAATGTATTAATTGATTTACGACTCGTGTTTGGAATTAAATCACTTTCTTTTGTTATCTATCTGCTGTTTGATCAAGACGGTAATTCAATTGAATTGCTTAGAAATTCCAAATTAAAATTGATTCTCTGTTCCTATATTGTGCTGGCGGTAGGACGTCTTTTGAGTCCGCACGGGTGGTTACTACCACCCTGCCTATTTTGAAGCAGTAATGCGTTTCGGTTTGTGGGTGGGGCAGCCGTTGTAACTATACTTGAGACCTTAGAACTTATATCTCAAGGTGGGTGGCGCATTTACGTCGTAGATGTCTATGGGCTCCAGTAACCACTTAACACCAGGTGGGCCGTGAGCTCGTCCAACCATCTAAGCAATAAAAATAAATAAATAAAAAACACAAAAGTCGAGTATTGTGTTTCCGCTATCTGACAATAAATGGCGTTGTAGTTCTCGAGCGTTCTAGATGTTACTAGATCTTTAAATATTCGTTCAGCTATTCGGCGATAGATGGCGTTACTTTTTTTTTTTATGATTGAAAGTTTACTGGTGGCCCGAAGGCCTTTCCAGTTTCACCAGGACAGGTGGGCGAGCAAAAGCTCAGCCAAGAGGGGTGGGATTTGCTAACAACTGCCCGAGCGCCTCCGAAGGAGACCTAACAACTCAAGAGCAATTGTTTCGCGAATGAATCTACTACCGGATCGGAATCGCGACCCGCTNAGTCGGAGGAATTCCGCGAATACAGCGTCCATGATCGCTGAGTACCCAGGTGGGGCGGCCCCGGGTTTTGAAAACACTCGCCTTGCGGCGAGGCCCCAACTTCTCGGACCTGAGCGGTTCTATTGAACACAGGTGGCAATGCGGCGCGATTACTACAGGACAAAGAAAAAGCAAAACAAATCAGAAATAACAAAAAGAAACAAAACAATTAAACACTTCCAGGAAGATAGTTTGTCGGCAGATGTACCACGAATACGGAAATAACAAAAGGAAACCAAACAAATAAAAACTTCCAGGAAAAACACTTGGTCGGCAGATGTACCACGAACACAGGCCGCGCGAACAATGGCCGGGCTAACAAAAGCCAGGCGAACAAAGACCGGGCGAACGAGTGGTCGATGAGCACGTCCGCACGTGACGGGTGCCTCTATCGGAATGAGATGGCGTTACTCTTACCGGTGTAACAATACTCGTAGTTTCCGTGGTCGAGAATTAATGTGAAGTGTAACTGGACTCATAAGTCTGCAGTTTGTCGACACGCCCGCGACTGTGGGTTGGTGTACAGTTACTACAGGGAATGGTCTGGTTGTAATTCTATTACCGTATACGCGAATAGTCAAACATAGTTTTTCATTCAGCTAGTGATAATCCCAACGTTGATCGGATTTTAATGGTAGCTATTGTCATGAGATTTGTACACTTGAATCAACAAAGATTGCATAAATTAATTTACGTGATAACTTTTATACTTGTACACAGATGCGTTGGTGGTGTAATGGTCAGCATAGTTGCCTTCCAAGCAGTTGATCCGGGTTCGATTCCCGGCCAACGCACGTTTTTATTTTATTTTATATCGATATATTAATCTGTGTTTTAATATTATTTTAATGTTGGTATTGGCATTGGTTTTATCGTTTATATTTTTATGATCAAACCTGACATAAAAAACCTTATTCATTGTAAGTTTTGCAAGAGTAGATGAAACTATTATATCTTTTCTCCTGCAGAGCATTGATATCTTAAGTCAGGTCGGCCAGTCATTATAAAACCGAATGATACCTCAAAGGGCGATCTTCTAATTTCATGTTCTTGAGGTCCTTAGAATCTTAAAGCATTAATAAAATATATGTTTTGTTTTTTATGTGGTTAGATGCACGGGTTGACGCTAGGCTACGATCTATGTCGGTTTCAAAATAAAAACTGAATTTAAGGTATCCGTGAATTATGACCGGACAATTACCACTTTCCATTGGCCATTAATAACCACTCCAAGTCTTACTGAAGACTGAAGAGGGGCGGTGAAATTCGCACAATGAGGTCTACAGAAAGAATCCACTAAATTGCACCGCCAATTGATCTTTTTTTTTATTTAATGTATCGCACGGTTTATTTTTTATTTTTTTATTGCTTAGATGGGTGGGCGAGCTCACAGCCCACCTGGTGATAAGTGGTTACTGGAGCCCATAGACATCTACGACGTAAATGCGCCACCCACCTTGAGATAAGTTCTAAGGTCTCGAGTATAGTTACAGTTACCAGTTAGTTTTGGTGTACAATAAAGAATACTCTCTCTCTCTCTCTCTCTCCCTCTCTCTCTCTCCCTCTCTCTCTCAAATATGTTTTTTCTTGTCTTTGACAGGAGCCTTTATCGGTGGCATTATGGGCGGGATGGTGATGCGGTTTGGCAGAAGGACGGTGTTGCTAGCTACCGCCCTACCCTACACGCTGGCGTGGCTGGCTACGGCGCTATCAAGCAGCGTGCACATGGTATCAGCCACGTCGTTCTTCGGGGGAATGCTGATCTGCTGTATAAATATGACGACACAGGTAAGGATAGCATCGTAGAATTTAACGGCCGTCTGGTGTAGTGGTAAGTGACATGGTCACTGCACAAGGTGGTCGCGGATTCGAATCCCGTCAAGGGAAGATATTTCTATGATAAATATAAATTTCTTTTCTAGGGTTATGGATGTATATTAAATATATGTATGTGTATAATAAAAATCTTACATTTATTTCCGTTATCTGGTACCTGTAACACAAGTTCTTTACGAACTTAGCACGGGACCAGTTAACGTGGCGTGATTGTTAGTAGGTATGCGTTTCGGTTTGAAGGGTGGGGCAGCCGTTGTAACTATACTTGAGACCTTAGAACTTGTATCTCAAGGTGGGTGGCGCATTTACGTTGTGGATGTCTATGGGCTCCAGTAACCACTTAAACACCAGGTGGGCTGTGAGCTCGTCCACCCATCTAAGCAATAAAAAAATAAAAAATAAAAAAATTACGCAAATTATAATTTTGCGGGTTTGATCGATAATAGAAGTATTCGGCATTCTGTTTATTTCTTTAACTGAAAGCTCTTACATCCTGGCGCGGAGGTTGGGACAACCATTACCATAACACAGCTGAGACTTTGAATTGATCTCTCAAGGCGATATCGTTGCGATATCATTAAAACCCAGTGAGTCGTAACAAGTTCAGTCTTCTAAGCCAAAAAAATACCAATTCGAACTAGGCTTTTATTTTGTTTTGTTTTAGTCTCGTAAAAACAGTTTATGATGAATAACGTCTCAGGACAAAACGCTAAGCTGCTTAGTTAACAAAGTCTTCGATACTCATTGCTGTAGCGGATACGTAATGTATCAAAACAAACTCCACTATTAAAGGTCAGAAAAGATAGCCTCTACCTTGCTATACTACACAATAGCTTCTTTATATTGCATAGATAGGTAGATGATCTGACAGCCTACCTAGTTTTAGTGGTTACTGGAGTCCATAGACAGTAACAACATAAATGCTGACCATAAGATATGAGATCCAAAGTCTAAGTTTTTACAGTACACAAGAGGCTGTATGGCATGGAAGGCGGTTGTTCTGCACCTTAAGTTCAGCTGTAAAGCTTCTTGACTTTCTTCTTCTTGAGCTTCTTACTGGTAGACACCATCGTTTTCTATATATCTGTCGCAAAGCTGTCACTGTGTAATCCAATCTATACATCAGCTCGACGCCAGAACCCCCTGAAGACGTCTTGGAAGACGACGTTCATTTTTAAGCGATTGCATAGCTTTTATCGTCTGATTTGAGCGCGGCGACCGAATCAAGAAATTCCGTAACGAAAATAAAACCTAACACCGCCACTCCACCTACCATGTAGCTCGCATTCAACACATTCACACGTTGCGCTTGTTTAGTGTCTGTGAATAAGCGCGCGGCGTGACGTCGCACTGCATGCGCATCTGAAAAGTCTGCCCATCTCTCTCTCACGCGGTCTAGCTTATGAGTGTGAAGGGGACAGTTAATGTTTTGCTTTTGTTAATGTTTATAAAGATAGCGTGGTCTTGTTTTATAATTGTCTTAATATTAAATTATTATTGTCTAATTATAATTGCATAAGTTGATAAAAAATGCTATGCAATAGCTTTACCGCGGCAGTCCCCGAGTGCAACACGTGTTTTTTTTAATAGTAGAGGTCCCGCAGTAGTCGAAATTCGACTATAATTAATTGGAATTGTAAGTTTGTACACTATTATGATTGTATTTTAAAATTTCGCCAAGGCTTCACTATAGATAAATATTGATAAAGACAAACAATATTTAATCTATTCTCAATTTGACCACAGACGTCAAGAACAAAAGTTTGACAATAAATAGTGTGCATGCGTGTGTGCGTCAAATACATGGTATGTAGTGTGTTTAATGTTTTCTTAGTTGATTTAAAGTATCTTTTATGCATTATTTAAAAAAAATATTAGCATTGTGCACTTCTTCTCTGTATTCTTCTATAAGTGTGCAAAATTTCATACTCCGTCCGCGCAATTTTCGCAAAAAGGAATACAAATTTTTTCTTCACGTATTAATATATTGATCTATTGGTTCCGGTAACTATTAGCAACTGTAGGTATACCTTTTTTTTTTTTTTCGCGTAGAGGGCCGAACCTCCTACGAGGTCCCCGCGCAAAAGGGGCGCGCGGGGTATATGAGACTCAACGATCTGCATGGTGTTGTGAGCAGACCCCTCATACAGCTAACTGTAGGTATACCTACCATAGAACTTGTACGCTAGCATGCGCGCCGATCGGAATGGCACTGTGTCCTTTAACAGACCATTGCAAATTACAACAACGAACAATTTGCGTTTTACAAGCCTTACACAAACTGCACAAAAACTTTCTTACACGTACGAGAACGCATATTTCTGTCATAGATTAAAAAGGTACTCAAAGTAGACCCGAAACTTTTCTAATGCCCACTTTTAAATAAAACTCTGAAAGGGATTCGACAGATTATTTGTATTAGGTTGCACCCTTTATGTATCATTATAATTTTAGTAGGATTTTAAACCTGTTGATAAGTTACACAAGAAGAGTACTGGCGTGTTCAATGGGAGAGCCTAATTCTCTCTCTGATTTACTGTAAGCAGAGTTTTAGCGAGTAAGTCATCTTACATGACTAAGTCTTCCCAATAATAAGTATAACCAAAAAAAGACCGTCCTAAAAGAGGCTACAACATTACAATTATGATCTTCTGTCTCTGACGGGTAACGCTTGAGCGAGAGTAAAGGAGATTCGCTTAGGTGTCAACATCTTGGCAGTACCACATACCCCCTCCCCCCGTGCGGGGATCTCGTAAGAGGTTTTCCCGCCGTATCCAAAAAAAAGAAGGCATATCAGTCAGAGTCGCTAATCACCAACGAATCGATAAAAAAAAGTATATTCACATAGTTACCGGGCTACTTGTAAGCCTACCTGTTAAATGTAGTGTTTCAGTGAAAGATCTATTCCACCATGAGCGGCTATCGGAGTTCATAGATATCGTTAATGTAACCACAACCCATCTTGAAACATCATTAGTGCGAGTATTTTAACTCCTTGCTCTCTAGCTTCCCTTCGTTTGCCGCTAGGGGCGCTGTTCCAACTCCATACAAATTTGAGTTAACTTTTACGCGATCGAGAAGTTATAGAACTCACACTAAGGACACTGACGCGATGAAGTAACACACATGACTTTGGCCTTTTCGGAGTACCTAATACCCACGACGGTAGTACCTATTTCGGACAATCTACCTTTTAATCTGTGACAAGTTTCTCAGTAGAGCTTTCCGCGTTGAAGCCATAATTCTAACGTAGCACTTTCAAAAGGCTTTTATTTTATTTTGTAAATCGTAAACGCGTTTTTCGTATACATTTTCAGTCTTGTATATTGTTAATAAAAACGTAGACACTTATTGTTTCATTGTTGTTAGTTCAACAAAATGTAGGTACCTACTCTTTACACAGCTGTGTACAATCTATATATTAATACGTGAAGCAAAAACATTTGTACCACTATTTGCGAAAATTACGCGGACGAAGGAGTATGAATTTTCCCACACTTATAGAGAATAGAAAGTGCAGTATATTGTTTTTTTTTTTTTAATGTCGATCAAAAATTGAAGTCGTCGTGGCCTAAGGGATAAGACGTCAGGTGCATTCGTGTTGAGCGATGCACCGGTGTTCGAATACCAGGCGGGTTCCAATTTTTCTAATGAAATACGTACTTAACGATTGTTCACGATTGACTTCCGTGGTGAAGGATTAACATCGTGTAATAAAAATTAAAACCGCAAAATTAAAATTTGCGTAATTACTGGTACACCTGGTCTTAAATGGTTACTGGAGCCCATAGACATCTACAACGTAAATGCGCCACCCACCTTGAGATATAAGATCTAAGGTCTCAGTAATCAGTATAGTTACAACGGCTGCCCCACCCTTCAAACCGAAATGCATTACTGCTTCACTCAGAAATAGGCGGGGCGATGGTACCTACCCGCGCGGACTTACAAGAGGTCCTACCACCAGTAAATCTTTCAAATAACGCGTTGTTATTAATAAAGTAGGGCTATTACACACGATTGCCTATTTTAATTGGCACGATTTACGCCGGAAACTCAGTACGATTTGTTGCAAGTGCGAAATTCATTTCACTGATAATCAGCAATTAAGACATCCGGGTAGTACAAAATTAGCTATGAACGTAACTATAAATAGAAACCGAAGATTTTTTGTTTGCTGTCTGTATCTACTGCTTACGTTTTGAGCACCGATGTAAATGAGGGCTCACACGAATTAATCCTACCGTTCTGCCTATTTCTACCACAGGACAACCTTTCGTGGTGGCCTGAAGTGAAACTTAGTTGGTAACCTGACAACTGCTTTAGTAACTGTTTTTTTTTTTTTTTTAATTGCTTTGATGGTTGGACGAGCTCACAGCTGGTGTAACGTGGTTACTGGAGCCCATAGACATCTACAACGTAAATTCGTCACCCACCTTGAGATATAAGTTCTAAGATCTCAGTATAGTTACAACGGCTGCCCCACCCCTCAAACCGAAACGCATTACTGCTTCACGGCAGAAATAGACAGGGCGGTGGTACCTACCCGCGCGGACTTACAAGAGGTCCTACCACGAGTAATTACGCAAATTATAATTTTGCAACACCGGTGCATCGCTCAACATGAATGCACCGGACGTCTTATCCCTTAGGCCACGACGACTTCTCTAACGATTTAATCTAACATTATTCTCCTTTGTCTTCAGGTATACGTCACAGAAATAGCAGTTCCCGAAATCAGAGGATGCCTCAGCTCCGTACTGAAGATCCTCAGTCAGATCGGCATCCTAATATCATTCACTTTAGGAGCGTACCTCAACTGGTACCAACTCGCTCTGATGGTAGCCGCCGCCCCGATACTCTTATTCTTTGCTCTCTTCTTCATACCGGAAACTCCTTCTTCCTTGCTCCTGAGAGGAAGGGAAACTGAAGCTGAAGATAGTCTGCAGTGGCTCAGGGGACCAGACGCGGACGTACGCCAAGAACTAGCCACAATCAGAACCAACATCTTAGCCAGTAAGCTGTCAAATGGGACGAACACGGGCAAATTCAAGGTATTGCTCTCGAAGCGGCTGACCAGACCAGTACTCATCACGTGCGGCCTAATGTTCTTCCAGAGATTCACTGGAGCTAACCTATTCAATTTCTACGCAGTCAAAATATTCAAGAAGACCCTAAGATCTATGAACCCTCATGGAGGGGCAATAGCGACTAGCGTTGCGCAGCTGTTGGCTTCTTGTTTGTCGGGGATGCTGATCGACAACATAGGAAGACTACCGCTTCTCATGATAAGCGGGGTGATGATGTCCATAGCCTTAGCCGGCTTCGGTTCTTACGCTTACTACGAAGAAGTTATAAGAAATACGACCGATTTAACAAGCGCCGAACCAGGATCATACGACTGGATCCCCTTGCTCTGTGTCCTGACGTTTACCATAGCCTTTTCGTTAGGCATCAGTCCAATTTCGTCTCTATTGATTGGGGAGCTGTTCCCTCTGGAGTACAGGAGTACTGGTAGCGCATTAGCGACGAGTTTCAGTCATTTGTGCGGATTCGTGAATGTTAAAACCGCCGCAGACTTCCAAGATCAAATAGGGCTCTACGGTCTGTTCTGGATGTACGCAGGTATCTCGGTCCTCTGTCTGCTGTTCGTGGTGCTATTCGTTCCGGAAACGAAGGGCCGCGAAATAGACGAGATGGACCCGAAATACGTAGAGTCTTTGTGCATAAATCGATAGTGACAGCCGAGATGAAGTTTCTGAGATTTATTCCCGCAGTATTAAAACTGTAAGTATTATAGTCCTTCAAAGTTCCTTGACACAAGCTTCCGGTGGAAGCACGAAGAAGTCCGTTATACTTTAATCTGATAATTGGCGAACGATTTTTAACTGACTTCAAAAAGGAGGTGGTTCTCAATTCGATCACACTTTTTAAGTATTTTACCTCAGATTTTGATGATTCTGTTTTTTTGTTAATTGCTAGTAGCTTCATATATGAACCGATATTTTGTCAAAGTTTTCGATTATAAGAATCAAAGGTAGCTAATTAAGTTCCAACCAGTCACACTTCTCTTCAGTCACTTGACCCTGGTAGAGTTGAAGCTTCTGGAAGTAGTTTTTAGGTTATTTTATTCTAAATAAGTCAAACTTAAAGGTTCAGCCTAGATCCCACCATAGCTCTAACTGTATATATAAGCATCCTCTGAGTATTATGACGACTTACTGCGATCACCAGCCCGCATTTACTGGTGGCGGTCTTATTGCCCGCACGGGCTGGTATCACCACCCTGCCTATTCCTGCCTATCTCGACTGTAAAGCATTCGGTTTGAAGGGCGGGACAACACTGCAATACGTTTAAATCTTCAATGTCTTAAAATGGGTGATGGCTTTTACGTGGTGCTGCCTATGGGCTCTCGTAACCACTTCACACCACGCCGCCAGTTTTTTCAACCGTCCTAACCCATTAAAATCATGAGGCCCGTTTTTAATATGGCAACTAATTAGTTTCATAAGAATTTTGTAAATATAACTTTCGTCTACCAACCCGACACGAATAATATCGACTGATTATTATATAAAGCTTATTTTCTATTGTCCGGACTGACCGACGGTCGATCTGGAATTAGTCTGGTCGCAGCTTAAACCCTAGTCCCGAAGTCTGCGTCTATAACTGCGAATACTCACAGATCTGTTTTATTGTTGAATAATAATTTAAATTTTAAGTTTTGACTAACATAGGGTACGTTGAATGTGTCCTGTGTGCTTAGTGCGAGCTTTTTAACGTTCTCGATAGCGTAAAAGTTAAGTCAAATTTGTATGGAGTTGGAACAGCGCCCCTAGCGGCAAACGTAGGCAAACTTTCTAACTCCATACAAATTTGACTTAACTTTTACGTTATCGACAACGTTAAAAAACTCGCACTAAGCACACATGTTAATGTGTTAATTTTGGTTGAAGATCGGGCGTCTCTGTCTGGCTTGACGTTTGTAAATGCGTACGACAGGGATGGCTATAGTTAAGAATATAGTTTTCTATCCTGCTCGCTCTTGTGCTAGTTAAATGCGAGTATGCGACACGTTACGATTCAATTCAGTCGTTGTGATTGTATGTTATACTAATAATTCGTATTTTAGATAAAATATTATAGGAATACTGTTTCCAATTACGGGTTAAAATGTTAGAAAAAAAAACAAGGCTTTTATAAATCACATGAGATTTTTCTTAACACTATCGATATTCTCTGTGCTTAGTGCGAGATTTTTAACTTCTCGATAGCGTAAAAGTTAACACAAATTTGTATGGAGTTGGAACAGCTTCCCAGCGTTTGCCGCTAGGGGCGCTGTTCTAACTCCATACAAATTTGAGTTAACTTTAACGCGGTGCGTCAATGATATTGTCATGTCATTGTCGTCTCAAATTCTTTACTCGTGTCGCTAAGCTGAATAAATGCATTTAAGTCTACTTTAATATTGTCCAAATCACAGTATTCACGTCAGAGGGGACGTAAATAAATAAATAAAATTAATTTTGTCTATGAAGGAAATGTAAAAATATATTGTTGTTATTAATGAATAAATTAATAAAGTTAAAAAGAATGCATAAATAGATTTAATTACGACAATTATTTCGAATCTTTGGTGCTAGCCGGTGCCTTCTTCGCGAATGAAAGTGTTAATAATAGATTTATTATATTAAATACGTGAAATTTTATTGTTAATAGTTTATTTATTTAGTTAAAATATTATATTTCGAATGCCATATACAATGTGTAATGCTATTGTGTTGCGTTTCATTGTAATTATACAATTTTTTGTACTTAAAAAAAATCGAATTTAAGTGTTCCAATAAAGATTGAATACAAAAGTACAATGATTTTATTTGACTGTCAGTTTTGGAACGAAGTTCCTTAAGGGACGATGCGGAGGGGTACCCTTACCGGGAAAAACGTCCGTAACGTAAGATTTTTATTAGTAATGAACACAGTGTACGACTTACCTTTGTAATAACGTACAAAAAATAACATATTTTTTTATCATTCATTGACCACGATCTCAGAGCGTTCGTTTGCGCAATACACTAACTCTTGTGCAAACAACCGCGAATGAAGTGTACCACAATAAGTTCGCACGTTACCGAATGTTGAATATTGTTGCTGAATATTTTATGTTCTAGAACATAAAATATTCAGCGCCTGATTAAATCTCAAAGCAACATGAATACGCAGTTTTGCTATTCTAAGCTGCAAGTGATTTTCAGATTTGTTTTAAAATGACTTATGAAATAAATTATAGTTTAAAAAAACTAACAAAATACGCTTTTATATAAAATCCAACTTAAAAATAGAAAATAAATTTTAATAAATTTGAATTAAATATAGTGTAAGAAAAAATCATTTTATTGTAAAATACCGAATTTCGAGTTAAGCCGACATTTTGAATGGGGTCAAAAGCACGCTCAAAGATTCCGTTACATACTAACATACATATATATACGTCTGAAGCTAGTAAAAGCGTATTAATCTATACATATAAAAATGAATTGCTGTTCGTTAGTCTCGCTAAAACTCGAGAACGGCTGGACCAATTTGGCTAATTTTGGTCTTGAATGATCTGTGAAAGTCCAGAGGTTTAAAAGGTAAATAAATATGAAAATGCTCGGAATTAAATAAAAATAACAATTTTGTTTTTCCTTTGATGTGTGGGGGACGGATTCCTTTTGTTTGATTTAAGTTTATTTTATACAAAAATTTAGGTCTTTTATTTATCGATTGAGGCACTACGAAGTCTGCCGGGTCAGCTAGTTATTTATAATTGTGACTACAACTTGCAAATACCGAAGGAAACACAACATAATATGTAAAGTTTGTAATTACGATATAGCTTCACCATTAGGATCGTCTGATCTAAAAAGTTCACTGACCCTCGAAATTCTTCACTCTGAAGTGTTCCTCCATTACCTTCAAGGGCTATTTCCATGTTCAATATGCTTAATTATAAACTGATTTATGGTTAATCGTAAATCTTCATTCAGTTATCGTCTGTCTGTTTTCGTATGCATTACGATTGATTTCAATTCATTCGGGCACTTTGAGCAATTTGATGTTGGCTTTTTTATTAAGTAGACGGGCAACTTTGTTAAGTTTTTTTTTTTATTGCCTTGATGTGTGGACGAGCTCACAGCCCACCTGGTGTTGCCACGTACCATCCGGCTATGGAACGAGCTCCCCTCCACGGTGTTTCCCGAGCGCTATGACATGTCCTTCTTTAAAAGAGGCTTGTGGAGAGTATTAAGCGGTAGGCAGCGGCTTGGCTCTGCCCCTGGCATTGCTGAAGTCCATGGGCGACGGTAACCACTCACCATTCAGGTGGGCCGTATGCTCGTCTGCCTACAAGGGCAATAAAGAAAAAAAAAAGTGGTTACTGGAGCCCATAGACATCTACAACGTAAATGTGCCATCCACCTTGAGACATAAGCTTTTAGGTCCTCAGTACAGTTACAACGGCTGCCCTGCCCTTCAAACCGAAACGCATTACTGCTTCACGGCAGAAATAGGCGGGGTAGTGTTCGAGTTTCGAAGTCCCATTTGTCTAAAAACCGAAAAGTATTGCTGATTTGTGGTAGAAATTAGTAAGGTACCTGTCCCTGAAACTGCGATAGTTTAAGACAAATATTTTTTTGTTATGGAAACTAGCGACATCTTGTAGCAGATGCCCCTAAACTTATATACTGTTAAAGTTAAAACATTTAATTGTTGAGTAACTAAACACAGTAAATAAAACATCAATAAATCATTCAAGTCTTTATTTCTTATAGACAAATTGATTAAATTTTATCAATTAGTAGTTTCTGAAATATTTGAAAAACCTTCATTAAAAATAAAATATAAGGTATGTAATAGGCTAGTGCCAGCTACAGGAGCAATGAGAAAGTAATCGAAGCGAAGCCACCTAGTGGCCGACGCCCGTAAACATTTTTGTTGAGTGCTCGAGTTACTAATCTATAACTTATGTGGTTCTTTTTTAATGAGAGTAGAGATAAAACCTATGGCATGGCCAGCTATAAAATAAAAAAAATATAAAAGCAAAAGTCAAAAAATAAAAAAACAAGACTATCGCCGACTGTTTTTTTTTTTTTTAAACCTACCTAAGCTGAGAGCCTTGAGAGGCTATTTCAGCGTAACCCTAACGTTTGTAGGTGAGCTCACGGGGCTCAAACCTGATGACGTTGCTAACACGAACCCTAGCAAGAGCCGTGCTTCGCAGAATCTACCACCGGATCGGAAACGCGACCCACTGAGAAGATCCGGCGAGAAACTCAGTGGGCTGTGTCTGAGAGTTAATTTACTCGTCGAGCCCTTCGTCGCAAGCGACGGGTTCGACGAGAACGGTGACCGGTGCTTGAAGTACCTAGAAGCACCGTTAGTGGATCGAGAGGATCCGAGATGACGTGTTTTGGGCGACGTCGACTGCTTTCCATTCTGTCCGCAGGATCGGGAATGTAGTTACCGGCGGCCACGATGAGAGGGTTCTCGTGTCGTGCCGCTTTATCGAAGTGGCGCATGGACGC